CGCATACCCGTGCGAGTACTCGCGTTCCTGTTTTGAACCAACAAAAGAGTGAAGATAAACCAAAATACAATTGTCTGTTACCTCGACCTATCAAGCCGGTGAAAGAAGGAGCGGCGTTGTAGGGTTGCTCGCTCCGCGTAGTGCTCGCATGGTGGTTTTAGATTCAGCGGCCGTGTTCGCCTTTGTCGTTGACCGCGTCTAGGCTTCTCGTGGGTTGGGCCCATCTTGCTCGCTGAAGTGTTGAAACCAAGTCCCAGTCCGATCTCATCCGATTTTCACAAACAACAAGGGAAACACGTCATACTTCGTTCACAAATCATCCAGTGTGTGGGTGGATGCGAAAATAGAGTAGGATGTGCCCGCTCTTTCAAAAGACCACATAGCAGGCTATCGTCCCTTCCCAAGGGGTAGGAATACGTGTCAGTATATACGGTAGATATGTCAATTGGGCTATTGTCATGCCAGACAACCGTGATTCTATTTTGAACGTGCATACGTCATGCCAAACCCATCGTTACATGTGAGACGTGGGTTTTGCATAGACATCGGTTATAACTTCTATTTTATGTAGGGACCTAACCTAGATTAGTATGGTCATCTTGAAGGCTTACCTATCGCTCTCTCGAGTTGGTGTTTGTGCTGAGATGGTAAGGCCATGACAGCCTGGTAGTGATATTTCGCTGGTTCTATTCTAAAGGAAACTAAAAAAGTTGGCTAAGAAATTCCCACAGACGGTGCCAAATTATTTGACCAAAAAGAAGTTAAACCTTTTACCTAAACTAATTAAAGATGGGATACAGGATAAAAAGGTAACTTGTCACGACCCGGATTCCCCACCCTCAGGAGTCGTGATGACGCCTACTCGTAGAAGCTAGGCAAGCCACGAACTTAAAAAAAATCCTTAAACTCTTTTGTTTTTAATTCCTTTTTAACCAATTAAATTAACAGAAAATAAGCAGTTAAATAATAGCGGAACATGAAGATTAGCAAAAGTCTTAAATAAATATAAAACCGAATCATCCAGACGACCAACACGTGCCTCTAACCAGAACCTGGTGTCACAACATTCACGAACTATCTAAGAGTGCTACATACAACTGTCTGAAACAAGGAATAAAGTCTGTCTCGGATACAAGAGGAAACAGTGCATCAAAATAGATAGAAGAGATGCCGGGCATGCGGACCCCTGCAGGACTACCTCGGAATCTCGTGGACTGAAGGCTGGCTCCTGAACTACTACTGCGTACCGTATGCTGCTCCGGTACCTGGATCTGTGCAAAAGAGCACAGAGTGTAGTATCAGCACAACCGACCCCATGTGCTGGAAAGTACCTAGCCTAACCCCGGCAAAGTATTGACGAGGCTAGGACCAGACTCCAGATAAACCTGTGCAGATATATAATATATTGCAGAAAAATAAACAAGTAATGAGCAGTTAAAAGGGAGGGGGTACATGCCTCGGGGAAACTGTTCAACTTAGCAGAAACTAAATAAATGTGAAGGAACAGTACTGTATCTAAAACAATATAATGACACTACTATTGCGGCACGCAACCCGATCCATAGGTATATATATATATATATATATATATATATATATATATATATATATATATATATATATATATATATATATATAACTGTTGCGGCGTGCAACCCGATCCAATAAATATAATATATCTGTTGCGGCGTGCAACCCGATCCAATAATATATATATGTTGCGGCGTGCAACCCGATCCAATATAATATATGTTGCGCCGTGCAATCCGATCCAATATAATATATGTTGCGGCATGCAACCCGATCCAATATAATATATGTTGCGGCGTGCAACCCGATCCAATATAATATATGTTGCGGCGTGCAACCCGACCCATATATGTATACATAAATAAAAATATTGCGGCGCGCAACCCGTTCCAGATATACAGCTTACAGTAATCATGACAAAAATTCCGGCAAGGGATTAACCATAAATACTCTATCCCGGCAAGGGAACTTAACAGTACAAGTATATTCGTCCTGGCAAGGGAGAACCAGCTATAACCAATCTCAATTCAACTTCTAATCATCTCCATTATCACCATTTCCAACTCATAAATAACTTCTACGAAAATAAGCCAAGCCTTTGCTCCATACCACGGATCTACCCACTATTGCAACCATAGTATTATTCAAGAATACCAAATATCAATTTAAGACTCACGGTCATGCTCGACACCGACGTATAGATACCCGTCACCATGCCTATACATCGTACTCCACAAGAAACACATAGCAAATCTGACTCAACTCATAATCCCTCAAGCTAAGGTTAGACCAAACACTTACCTCAATGCCTTGAACACAACTCAAGCCTCAATTATAGCTTTACCCCTTGATTCCACCGCCAATTCGCTCGTATCTAATCACAAATTACTTAATTACATCAATAAGTGCTAATGAATCAACCCCAATGCATGAAAATGAGTTTTTCAAAGTTTTACCCAAAATGTCAAAAATTGCCCCCGGGCCCACGTGGTCAAAACCCGAGGTTCGAACCAAAACCCGATTACCAATTCCCCCACGAACTCAAATATATAATTTGTTTTGAAATCGGACCTCAAATTGAGGTCCAAATCCCCAATTTTTGAAAAACCTAGGTTCTACCTAAAACACCCAATTCCCCCATGAAAATCTTTGATTTTTGGTTGAAATCGTGTTAGAAGATGTTAATGATTGAAGGAAATGAGAAAAAACTAACTTACAATTGATTTGGAAGAAGACTTGTTCTTGGAAAATCGCCTAAGTGCGTTTGGGTTTGAGAAAATATAAAAAATGGGGTTCAAAATCGTTTAAGTGTAAAATTGCAGGTCTCTGATATGGGAATTGCGAACCCCGACCTCTGCCGATGTGGGAATTGCAAAACAGGGTTCGCATTTGCAAAACCTTCAGAAATCCCAAACTTTCGCATTTGCGAAACGATAGTCGCATTCGCGACTTCGCATTTGCGAAGAAGAGATCGCATTTGCGATCACAGAGGATTTAGGCGGGCATCGCATTTGCGATGCATGGCTCGCATTTGCGAGACTGGCTTCGCAAATGCGAAGCCTGCAGATCAGAACACACCAGCTATTTTCAAAGTTCAAAATGCACCCGTGACCTATCCAAAACTCACCCGAGCCCTCGGGGCTCCAAACCAAATATACACACAACCTCAAAAACATCCTACGGACTCATTCGTGCGATCAAATCGCCAAACTAACATCATAAACATCGAATTAAACCTCAAAATCCAAGAATTCTTTCAAACTTCATAAAACATCAAATTTTCCAATGTAGGTCCGAATCACGTCAAACGACGTTCGTTTTCAACCAAATTTTACAGGAATGACTTAAACCATATATAAGACTTGTACCGGGCGCCGGAACCAAAATACGGGCCCGATACCTACACGTTCTAATCAATTTTCACTTCAAATTTCCTTAAACAATTTCAGAAAACAATTTTACTAAAAAAAATATATTTCTCGGGCTTGGGACCTCGAAATTCGATTCCGGGCATACGTCCAAGTCCCATATTTTCCTACGGACCCTCCGAGACCGTCAAATCACGGGTCCGGGTCCGTTTACCCAAAACGTTGATCAAGGTCAAATTTATTCATTTTAACATCAAAACTTAGCATTTTTCACAGAATTTCATATTTAAGCTTTCCGGCTACGCGCCCGGACTGCGCACGCAAATCGAGGGGACTCTAAATGAGGTTTTCAAGGCCTCGAAGACACCGAATTCAATTAAAAACAGGTGATGACCCTTCGGGTCGTCACATAACTCTCAGCCAAATATAATTGACTCAAAATCCAAACCCGTTGAATATCACAGTCGAAGGAGATCAAGTTTATATAAGATTCTATGAAATGATTAACAAGCATCGAGTGTAAATAACAAGCTTACATCTTTGAAGCATTTATATCATACTTGTGATAGCAAAGAAAGAATAGAGGGGAAGTTGTTGATAGCTAGGCGATCTCTCCTTGTTGATTTAGCGGTGATGATTACTAGAAGTTGCAGCCGAAATCTGGGCTGTTGATCTCTCTCTCTTAGGATCCCCCACTTCTTATCCTTCCTCCGCCCCAGTATATAGGCTGTCAATTCCCCCTTTATCCAACGGTCTTTACCCGACGGACTTTCTCATGAATGCACTCTTTCTCGATTGCCCGGGTAGTGCGACGTATGCGTTGTCGCGCAGGCCTTCTGACGGCTCGATCTCGACAGTGGTCGAGGTGGTCGCCTGCTATCACGCCTCGTGGGTACGACTGCGATTTGGTTGACCCCTTATCGTTCCTTTTAGAGAACCATCTTGTGGTCAGATTTTGACCCATACACCTACAAGTCTCAATTAGAGGCACATATATGGCAATTTTGGTTTTAGGTCGGAAGTTCATATTTATGTCCCGAACTCTAATTTATTTCTCGTTGAATATAAAGGATATGCTGCTGATAAATATATTTGACAACTAATTCTCTTGAAAGTTCGACGATAGCATCTTAGGGATCATTTGGTTGGGAAACAAATTATCTCATGATTAATTATTTTGAGATTAGTTATCTCACCCTTCCATGGAGATAAAAAAAAATACTACAATCCCTGGATAGCTAATCTCGGGATTAACTATACCACGATTTTGTCCCAACCAAACATGGGATAAACTCATTTCAAATTTAATCCCGGAATTAATTAACCCTTATCCCTCGTACGAGCCCTTATTGCACAAATGTCTTGTACCCTGAAATATAAGGTCACCCGCTATGTTGCACAGTAAACTTAAGAATGTTTTGTCAAAATGGAGAAGGGACGAATATGGCAAGCTCAAGCTACAGAATACTTGAAATGGAGCAGTCGGCTTTAACTAATGGATCTTTGCAAGTCGAAGAACCAATGCTTGGAATATTCTTTAGAAACTTCCTACTTTTGTTTGTTGAGAATTGTAGAGGAGAAAAAGGAGGAAAAAATGGGGACTAATATCACTGCCAATCCAGAAAGGGTCATTCTTCAGGTTTCTAATGCATTAGAAATTCAGGCAGATAACACTTTGTGAGTGTGCCATTGGAAACATGACCATTAATTATCTAAACACAATATGTTCTCAAAACAAGATTTTAAATTAGGCTCATTTACCATGGCTCCACAAATACAAAATCTTCCCAACAAGTACTCCTGGTAAAGGCAAGTTGGATATTTTTGTTCTTCCAAACACCTAAGACGAACAAGAGCAAGACATAACATCCTTTTCCTTCCATGAACTGGCCTTCAAGTAAGAATTATGTCCCTTATGACTTGCAGTCATAGCACCATAAATTGCAGCTTCTATCAGGGAGTTAATCCAATTTGTTCATGTAAAGTGTAAACCGTGCAATCGTCTTATTGCACAGCAATCTAGCAAAATGGGAGACCTGGGCTTAAATGACAGTTGGTAACTTCACAGTCTCAGCTTGGTTTTCTACTCACCCCACATTGATGTACCACCCAATCCAATTTCATCACTTACTGATGACAAATGGAGAGCAGCAGCACCAGTTACCAGATTCTTGTTCTTCTTTTTCTTTTTTGGGAATGTAACCAAGCCTGCAGTTGCATCAACATTTTGGAGTGTGTTTTGATTAACGCCCTTCCGACTACTAGTCAATGGATCTTCTGATGAATCAGGACCAAAAAGATCTGCAAAAGGAGTTTCTCCATCGTCAATGGCACTTGCTTTATGTTGTTTAGCCTTCTTACTAGACTTTTTAGCTGATTCCTTGTCCCTGACAGCAGTATCATTTTTGTTGGTTGATGCTTTCTCCTTCAAGACTTCACTCTTCTGTTTTTTGTGCTTTTGTTCCTCTCTTGTGCCAAGTTCAACGGGTGGAACCCCCACATCATAATTGGTTCTTTTTTCTGTTTGTACCAACCCCTTCCTCTTACGATCAGAAGCGGCAATATCAAGATGACCACTTTCATTTTCAAAATCGACTCTCCCACCCTCTTCCTTTTTCACGGCATTTTCAATAGGTTTAGCATTGAGAATCTGCAAATTTGGCAGCTGCTTCTTGATCTGGTAAAACATAGTTAGTCAGCACATGATATTAAAGCTTGAGATCCAGAGAAAGACAAAGTATGCACCAACCTTTTTGGCCAAAGCTTCATTTTCAGCAATGGGGTTCCCTTGTAGGTTTAAGTTTTTCAAGTTAACTAATGAAGAGAGCACCTACCACAAAGCCACACAACCACATTTTCGGCAAAAGGAAAAGTTTGAAATAAGATAACTATCAAAATAAGAAGAGATAGGATATAAAGCAAACAAAGAGGAATTTGAGGGGATAAATGGGATCTGCAAAAATGGCTACCTTCAAATCTGAGCACTTCATGATAACATTGTTTCCAATGTCTAAGTTTTGTAGTTTTATATTAAAAGCCAACTCACTGGGAAGTGTCTGTAAACAATGGAGAAAATGCAAAATTAGAAAAATAAACGACTTGCAGGTAATTCAGGAAGCCTCTGCAGTCCAACATAACTGATAATTAGCTATAGCACTTACCTTAATATCATTATGAGCAAGGCGTAGCTCCTTTAACTCAGTGCAGGATTTGAGTGAAGAGTCAATACCTTGTAGTTGACAATTCGAGAGAGACAACTAGAAGGCCAGTACACATATGGTGTTAGGACATAGTAACACCATAATGAATTATCATGCAGTAGAAGATAAACGGGAAATGAAGAAGCGCTTACTTTTGTGATTGAGTTAATTTTGGCCAGACTTTGCCCAATTCCAGATATTGGATTTCTAGAAAGGACTGCAACATAAACCAATGCAGAGGGACACTTTCAACTTAATTGATTGTACGGCAAAAATGAAACACAATCAGACTAATTAAATTTGACGTTGAAGTTCAGAAAGGCCAACAACTACACAAGTTAAGGACTATTCATCTTGATGCAATATGTGATGGTGGCACAAAAGAGCAACTAGAATCAATCAACCATCACAGTCCAAGAGGACCAAAAGATAGCAGTTTTTTAAAATCTAATTAGCACTAGCAATTTGCCAAATCATCTCCCAGGGCGAGTAACTACAGCCGCCTTCACAACAGAAGTAACAAACAAGATTTCAGACAAGCCAATGGCGGCTAATAACAGCCTCTTGATCCCGTCAAGCCTTGTCAAACATCAAAGATTCACGAATTTTCAGTATTCAGTACAAAAATATCAAAGAGTTGGTCGGACAAATAAAAAAGATATGACAAAGGGAAACTAAAAGAACACAAAAGATTGTTATTCTTATTCTTTATCATTCTTTTATTTTCTTTGAACTAAACATATACGATCCTATTCAAGATGTAACTAACTACCAAAAACCTTGTTATCTTCTTGATTCCAAACTCTGTTCTCTAAACAAATGATTGGGAGTTCAGCCAACTTCATCCAATTCTTTAAGCGAACAGGTCAGTATCTCTATGGCTGAAACCTGTCTCATTTTTTACTTTATAACCAAATGCCTAGGCATATGAAATAATCGCAACCAAGGTATAAGGAGTTGAGATTTATTATGGTATGTTCTTGTTCTCTTGAGTGGATCTTGGTGATATCATTGTAAGTTTAATCTCCAGAATCCAGAAGGGTCACCTGAATCAGTCACACTAATAGATACTTTGGATTTGTTTTGCATAAGAGAGCATACTGAAACTCGCAGATATAAGAACTGGGAATCTGTTTACTGATCTGAGTACTGTTAGCGGAATAGCAAACTATAAATTACACCATGCTCAATTACGCACTAAGAATTGATCATGAAAATAAAAAATTTGAGATCGAGGAACCCATACCTAATGTATTCAGCTCTTGCATTTTATCAAGCTTGCAAATCGAAACAATGTCATTGTCTGCCACAGAAAGGCAAAAGTAGGTCAGTATATTAAACTAATTTTCCAGCATATATTAAGCTCTGATGGAGAAAAACAGTGGTACATATACAGAAGCTCACCATTCAAAATCAGTGCTCGCAAGTTCACAAGACCACTGACCTCGTTCATTGATTTGAGCTTGTTTTTTCCAGCATTCAGTACCTGATATAGCAAGGAATGGTATTAAAAGCCAAAGACCTTTTACCTCTTTTAGATCTAAAGGCTAAAGAGCCATCAGTTTAGTAGCCATCAACTGATGCTGTAAGCACCCCAAAATATGGAGAAAAAAGAAGAAATATTATGACAAGTGTTATCAAAGGCGAAAAGCGCAAAAAAAACTCTAAGGTTTGTTGGGGCTTTAAGCGCAAAGCGCAAATAAAGCGTGAGCTTTAATTGAAAAAGGCGCACGGGAGAAAAAGTAAAAATATGTATTTGTAGTCCAAGACTAATAATTATAAGTACGATAACAAATATACGGACAAAGAAATTGAAAAAAAATTACGATAAAGTGATATTGTTTAATATTGCCTTTTCAGGATTACACTCATTGATAAGGAAAAGTATGCCTTAGAGCCTTGATGCGACACTAAAGCGCCCACGAAGCGACGCAAAACGCTTAACATGTTTTGAGCCTCGCTTCAGGGCTTAAGCGCGCCTTTGACAACACTGATTATGACACAATCGCATGAGATGAGTTTATGGAAGGGGATCTTAATGGGAAAGAACAGGTTATAGTACTTTGGCCATAAAATCACCAGCCCAAAAAGAATACTTTTTCCAGAGAATGTGCGGTAAGATGTGGCAATCCTGAAGGATGCATACCACCGGTGTTCAGAGTGCTGAATGATATGGAGTGGATCAATTGTTTAATATTATTTAAGAAGGGATAAACAGAAAATTATGCAGGATGAAAATTTAAGGCGACCTTATAGGACTGAGCGGGATGAGGTTGCTGAGTGCTTACAGAATTTACCAATGTGCAATAGAGGAAAATATTACCCATATCTTCGGGGTAACAAAAAGAGACGGGTGGGTTGACAGCAAAATCATTCAAGTGAAACTTTTTAGATGGAATTATCAGAGGAATGGGAGAAGAGGGAAGTGTGAGAAGTATGAAATGTAATCTTAACTACAGAAAACTTAACGAGGAGGAGGAGGCAAATTATCTTGAATTTTGTGCAATACCCCCTCTTGCGGCATTGTAGTGTCAGGGCTTGGTTTTATATATGTTTATCGTTTAATAAGTATTACCAAAACACAGTGAATCAAGCATTGTCTAGCCTAAAGAAAAACACCGTTATGCCTCATCTGGCTTATTTGGAGTGCAAAAAATATGAGATTATCCCGTTACAGTTAAAATAATTTAAAGAGTATATAGAATCTTGTTTGCTCATTAATCAAAGAAACAAGCAAAAAGATATTGAACATACAAGTCTGGGTAGATAGGTGCCAACTATATAGAACTCTTAACATTTTCCCCCTCGAGCAGGAAAACTATAATTGCTCGCTTTGACAAGTGAAAATATAGTTGCTCTATGCCTGCCAATCTTCACTTGGATATGTTTTATTAATCAATTTCCAAATGCCAAGAAGAGTTAAAACAGAGAAAGCAGTCTTTTGATAAGTATAAAGGTGGAGAATGATGTTATAAACAATTGGAGAGAGAGAGAGAGAGAGAGAGAGAGAGAGAGAGAGAGAGAGAGAGAGAGAGAGAGAGAGAGAGAGAGAGAGAGAGAATATAATTGGCGTATTTCATGCCTCAATGATAAGTATAAATAAATACACATTTTGCTATAAAATAGAAAAGATAACTATAAGTAATAATATTTAAAAATTATTTTGGTTTATAATAAATTGGGTGTAATAGTTTGCTATAGGAGATAAAATTTCCTTTCATAATGTAGGAACTAAAAAGAAAATTTTTGAGCCTTATGCAAAATTGGGTTACAGATCGAAAATTGNATATGGAAAGGGACTTCGGCCTGCGAACGCCAGCTAGGCTACCTCGTAAGTCCCTGGACTGAAGAGGGCTCCCGATCAACTACTGCTGTGGTCCAAGAGCTGCTCCGGTACCGTAATCTGTGCAAAAAGCACAGAAGTGTAGCATCAGCACAACCGACCCCATGTGCTGGCAAGTGCATGGCCTAACCCCGGCGAAGTAGTGACGAGGCTAGACAGGACTACCAAGTCAACCTGTGCATTTCAATATATACATATATATATATATATATATATATATATATATATATATGCATGTGTGTGAATGTTGTGTAAAGGACAGCGAAAGACAACAGGACAGTTTAGTAGAATAGAAAACATTGAGCTTCCCATGTTACTCCAAGTTTCAGATTTCAGGTTACTCGTTTCCACTTCTAGAGATTAGAAAATGATATTCGTAAAACAATTCTCTCACAGGCTGTAGCATGATCTGGCCTTTTAACACACACAAGTTTATCAAATGGGAGAGCTCATAGATAACAATAACGATAGCAAGCCAGAAAATCCAGTTTAAAAAGTACTCAAAAGCAGAAAATTCATTAACAAATTACGCGTGTAGAATCATGCACTGTAAACAAGCTCACTACTTACCTCTTTACAAGTGAAATAGCTCACAACTAAAAGGATAAAAGGGACAGCAAAAAAGGAATCAAAATGCTGTACTCACAGTGAGTTTAATAAGCCCTCCAATCCCTTTCAAGCTCTCAAGTTTGTTTTGTACAACAGACAGCCACTTCAAATTCACACACAACTTCAATCCCTAAAATTTCATTAACAAAAATTGAATCCTCAAATCTTAGCACCCAAAAATAAAGAGAGAAAAAAAGTTTCCTTTTTTTACCTCAAGTGAAGTTAAATTGTTAAAGCCAAGATCAAGTCTTTGCAAATTCTTGAACTCGCTCAAACAGGAGACCTGCAAAAAAAAAAAAAAAGAACCTTGAAATGCAATACTATGAGATAAGAAAATTGGAGGGTTTCCTTTTCTTTTGAGAGAGATTGGAAATTTATATATATACATCAGAGAGAGCTTTGTGAGTAAGGGAAAGAGAAGTAATGGAGTTTGGGTCAGTGGTGTTGTTGTCTTCCAACACTTGCTTCCAGCTCAACACCGCCATGGATAACGGTCTGCAGGGATTATTAGGGTTTTAGTCTAGACTAAAACCCCTCAATAGCAGAGCTAACATTTTGATGTAGACGGAAATCAGTGTTAGACCTATACGTCGCTTATTTCATGCAGCGTCCTGCCATAAATAATAATCCAACCGCTCCAATTTACGTTAACATGTTTGACTGGGCAACGGAGTTTAAGAAATAATGAATACTTTTAGAATTGGAAGAAATTCAAAAATAGCCAGATTTACCACTGGTCGTTGAAAAATAGTCAAGTTTCAAAAGTCATCGAAATTTAGCCACTTTAAATCTGAGCGAAAACACTGTTCAAAATTCGGAAAAATACGCCCACGAGAGTTCCAGCATAAGTATGCTTGAACTCCCGTAAAATTTGCGGGAGTTCCAGCATAACATTTTGATGTAGACGGAAATCAGTGTTGACCTATACGTCGCTTATTTCATGCAGCGTCCTGCCTTAAATAATAATCCAACCGCTCCAATTTACATTAACCTGTTTGACTGGGCAACGGAGTTTAAGAAATAATGAATACTTTTAGAATTGGGAGAAATTCAAAAACAGCCAGATTTACCACTGGTCGTTGAAAAATAGCCAAGTTTCAAAAGTCATCGAAATTTAGCCACTTTAAATCTGAGCGAAAACACTGTTCAAAATCAGGAAAAATACGCCCGCAAATTTTACGGGAGTTCCAGCATAAGTATGCTTGAACTCCCGTAAATTTTACGGGAGTTCCAGGATAACTATGCTGGAACTCCCGCAAATTTTACGGGAGTTCCAGCAAGTATAATTGTCCAGTATAATATACTGGAGTTTGGAGCACTGGTGCTCCAGTCTCCCGCAAATTTTACAGGAGTTAGCAAAGTATACCGGTCCAGTATAATATGCTGGAGTTCGTACACAAATGCACCAGAACTCCCGTATATTATACTGGACCGGTCCCTGTTGCAGCAAAATAGTGGCTATTTTTCATTGACTTGATAAACGCTGGCTATTTTTCATTGACCAGTGTGAAAACTGGCTATACCATGATATTTTAACTTTAGAATTTGTGGTCCTAAACAAGTTAAAAGGGGGCCCAGAATATTTGTGTGGTTATAAAAGCTTCTCATTAAGGGTAGAATTGTAAGTTTAAGCTAAATTGTTTCCAACTTTAGAAAGGGTTCATTCTTTTTTGAACAGACCAAAAAGAAAATAGGTTCACATAAACTGGAACGGAGGGAGTAATGATAATAATAATAATAATAATAATGATGTTTACCTCGAAAATATGAGTAACAATTAAACTTGTTTATGGTTTTAAAGATATGTGATTTAGTTTAATACTAATTAATAACCAAGAAATCTAACGTATAAGTGAAAGAAGTGAATCAAACCAGTTTTTTAACAAATCTCGACCTCGAGCTGTGATGGCCTCGAGGTTGGCCAACAAGAACAGTAAAATAAAGACAATAAAATTAAGAGACAATTCTGATGAAATGTGAGCAAGAAAGTAAGAGAGTATATTCTTTTGACAATGATTGATGATGGTTACAAATGATTGGGATCCCCTTTATATAATAGGGGAACCCTAAATAAGGTACATTTCTATTTACAGCAAGGAATCTTATTAGGACAGTTGTCTAACCGCCTAGTACGCATTCGTACTAACTCGTACAAATCTATTCCAGAATTTACGCCATGATATTGGGACGTGGCAGGAATCTTGCTCTTTCTGTTACAAACCCGTAACGGCATCATCTCGGGGTTGGTCATAATCGGCTCCGATGTTCCTCGAGCACTTAGATCTTCAAGACTCGTATTCTGCCTTCGAGCTCGAGCTCGGTCTATATTGAACTAGTTCTCGATGCGACCTATCGAGCCTACAAAATCGGGGACATATGATTTTGACCGATATTGATAGTCCCCGCATTTCTTAGAGTAAAATGATAAGAAACGGCTTGAGCCTCGATTCTCCGCGAGTCCTTGATGATGACATCATTCCCATGACGTAGGCTTTCGAAGTGACCGAAACGTCCCGTCGATTTGCTTCCCCAAAACATTAAATGCTTGGTCAGTGGAGGTCGGCCATTAGCGTCGTCGATTCGTCGGCGCTTGCCTGTAAATACAAAGTTCAAATTTGGAAAAATTTTACTTCAATCTTCATTCCATCTCTAAACTCCTTTTATATCTCCCCTCTTCATCTCTTCTCTCTTATTACTCGTAACTTCATTCTTTTAGAGCCAGAAAACATAAAACTCCGCCTATCTCCACATCCTTGAATCAATGGCTAAAACTTCTAAAATCGTGCCTCAAAAAGAGAAAGCTTCCTCCTCCTCTTCCCGGTCAGCTGGTGATAAAGCGTCGGCCCTTCACGAGATCATTCTCGGTCCTTGCGCCATAAAGAAAGACTTCAGAGTAGAAAATCCCCCCTCTCCCCCCCTCCCCCGTGATTCCTGGTCGATATGAGCATGTATTGAGATGTGTTTGCTTGATCACGGAGAAGCACATCAAAGCAATGAAGAAAGAGTGTAGTTGGGGGGACGAGTTCGTGGTATAGATACCCGACCCCGAGGAGAGAATTACCACTCATGTGGAGGGGTTTCTAAGTGTTTACACTTACCCATTCACACTGGGTCCCCTCCATCCTGTTGTGATTGATTTCTGCAAAAGATACCAAGTCACCCTTGGCCAGATTATCCCCTCTTTCTGGCGTACAGTGAAGATGTTTCGTTTCTTCTCCAGCAAGGCCGAGGGGCTAGAGTTCACTCTCAATCACCTCATCAGATTGTACCGGCCTCAGATTTTCCGAGGTCTGATCAAACTTCAACGCCGATCGAGCAAGGCCTTCTTCGCTAGTAATGACGATGACAAGGATCGGGGCTGGATGAGCAGGTTCGTGCGAGTAAGGAACTCGGACATCCTCCCCGAGAGTAAAATGCCGTTCCAGGAGAAATGGAACCCCAATCGTAAGTGAAGTCCTCTCCTCAGTGTCTTCTTATATTCTGTTTTTGCATCGTGTGACGCCTTTACCCCTTTTTACAGCGGTTGCTTAGATGCCCCATGCGATCCACGACCTTGAAGATTGGGTCCAAAAATTAGCCGCGACCTCCTCGTATGATGAGCGCAAATGGTGTGACTTGTCGAAAGGCAAATGGGAGGCCAAACACCACGGTAAGTCCTTCTCCCAAATTTTTTACGCTTTCCCCTTTGCTGTATACGTTGCCTTACTCATGCTTGTTCTTTATTCATGTACGTATTGGAGATGCCTCCGAAATGAGGCCATCCCCGCCCGGGGAAGAGACCGAGTCCCCGGTTCCAAAATCAGGGAAAGATAACAAGAGGAAAAGGGCTTCGAAACCCGAAGACCCCCACGATAAGAGAGCCCTAGCTCGAAGGCAGAGGAGGAAACTCATTCAAGTGGACATAGACTCAACCCACCAATTGAATGACGAAGAAGAGGACGAGGGCGACGAGCCGGCATTGGTGACCCAAACCAAAAAACCAATTGAGGCCGTCAAGTCCTTTGAACCAGAAATCCTGCCTCGTGAAGAGGAGGCTCCGAAGAAAAATGCGGGCAAAGCCTCCGAGTCTCTTGAGATCAAGATTATTCCCCCTCCTTCGACAAGCACACCAAAGGGGGCAAGTACCGAGACCCCCGGGGCTGAATAGAGCGCCCCGAGGCCATGATAATAGGTCACTCCCCTCCTCTACCAACTTATTCTGGGGAGGCAATAAAGGAAACTCAAGCCCTGCAAATGCCTGAACCGAGCGGAGTCCCTAGTGAAGAAGATCTTTTCCGGGATTGCTTTAGTGGGGTCGATGATGTTGCCGACCTCAACGATGCCTCTACCCTCTTCGAAGTGGCTCGCCGTCTTTTTGCTCGGGTAAGTATCGACTCTTATTGTTGCAATTCCTCCTTATCCCTTTACTCTAACTGATATATCTTTTTCTGCATAGGCTATTACCCGGTTTAGGGCCGAGCTGAGCCAATGTAAGGCCGAGCTCAAGAAGTCTTCAGCAGAAGGGAAGGCCCTGAGGCTCCTTTGCAGCAAAAAGGAGGAAGAGCTCAAGGACCTTCGGGCAAATTTGGCCAAAGCTCGTCAAAATGAGGTCGAGCTAGACAAACAGGTAACCATCGTTTTGCAAGAGTATGGCTGGTTGACCCAACTGTGGAGGCTAACACTTCAGTGTCTCAGCTACCGCAAAAATTGGATATAATCGGGCAGCTTCACGGAGAGGTCGATCAAGTTAAGGCCGATTGCAACCAGTGGAAGGAAAACATGGATTGGCTTGCTGCTGAGAAAGAGGCTGCTCTAGCCAACCTAGCCTCGGTTGAGACCCAGCTCCGGGGAGTCAAAGTAAAAAACCTGGCCCAGGCCAAGAAGATCGATGAACTCGAGGCCAAGCTTGCTGCAACTAGGGCCGAGGTCGAGAGGACGAAGGCCACGGCTGACAAGACCATTGCTGTGTACCTAAAGGATGCCGAGGCTGCTCAAATGGAACTAAGGAAAGCCTCCAACCGGGAGAAACAGGTCAATGATTTGGCCAAGTGTCAATCCCGGAGGGAGACCCTCGAAGAGATCCATGCTCAAGGTTTCGACCTCACCGAGGAGATAGCACAAGCAAAAGCACTCGAGGCCGATGCCAAGTTCCTCGTCTCCTCCAACGACGATGACGATGATGAAGGCAGCCAGAGTGGGTCCGATAATGAAGTTAGGCCCAAAGAGGAAGCTGCTCCCGAGGGACAGACCGGCCTTGGGCATAGATAGGATTTTCCTTTATTCTTGTATTGTTTTTTTAAGGCCTTTCATCGGTCTCTTGTATATATATTTTTTCAAGTATATATATAAAAGAAGAATTTCCTTGAACGTTTCCTCGATATTTCTGCCTTGTAAAATTCTTGTAATGACTTCATTCTTTTTAAATGTGTTTTTGAGATTTTATCTCACATGTTTTCTTCGAAATTGCCACGGTCGAGTTCGAATAAGTACGAACTTTTGGGCATAGACCTTTACGGGCTCGTGCTGGAGAACGGTGAGTCCCCGAGCCATGATCAAGCCATTATTTGTTTAGGCTTGGGATAATTGAACCCTTAGGTTTGAATTGAG